CAGTGAATTGACCTGCAAAGATAAATTACAAGGATGGGTGAACAACAAAAGAGAGCAAAAAGCCATGTTAGTCTGCAAGAAAAAAAAACTGCCTGTCTTGCAAAGGACCAGACCAAAGTCAAATGAGAAGATGAAAGTTTGGAGCATTATGGTGAAAGATGGATATCTGAGACAGACATAAAAGGGGACTTCCAAGAGGTGAAGAAGGGGAAATCACAATTCAGCTGGCCGAAGAGGGGTAAAGAGAAGAACCTAGCAAGGGGTGCTGTGAATTAAAAATGGTACTCTCAAAAGAAGTTGAAGAGGATAGGCAAACAGAAAGAGCGTCAACCAATCCAGGTTCAAAGGGAATAATTCCAAGGTCGTAAAGTCCAAAAAAAAATGGAAGCTTGGTGTAGAGGAGAGTCACAAATACATCAATAAATGGACTGTCAAAGTGGGAATAAATCTACAGAAACAGCAGGAGATGTAAAGATCACTGAGTAAATGAGGTTTGGCCCAAGCAGAACAGCTGATCCACCACCAAGTTTAAGCTGCCATAACACAGAATGCCAACAACAAGATGATGTTGTCATGAACCTAAAAGTGGAGCTTTGAAATAAAAAAATCAGAGGGCCTTAAAACTAGTACCTCCCTGTCATTTGGTGAAGAATCAACTGTAGACTTGTTCAAATAGATAAGTTTAGAACATACAAATAACTGTAACAAAAGATGGTAGCAGGTCTTTTGAACTATTCACATCTCAAAGAGATTGAAGTGAAAAAACTGTTCCAAAGGAGACCAAACATTTAACATATCAAGACATCCAGAATTGTACTCCACCTGGCTAGAGAGGGATGCATGAAGAGGTGGATGTCCAGGCAGAGTGTAGGAGGATGACTGTGTGAAAAACATTTGAGCAGCCACAAAAGCAAGAGAAAGAGTGATAAAGGTATAGAAATTAGAACAGTAGACTATATGCTAGAATTCACTGGAAGGGAACAAAAGAAGAAAAATTGCAAAAATGAAAGACCCTCATGAACAGGAAGAAAAGGAGACATAAGAGCCTTGGAAACCAGAAGCACCATATTTTAGAAATTCAAAAGAGAAAGTTGAGCCCATCCAGCAAACAAAATGATGAAACTCCCAAATGAATCAGATATTGAATTTGAGTAAATAATGACTCAGGATCCTGACTAGCCAACTCAAACAAGCTGATTCCTAAGGAGAAGGAATGTCATAGCAGATAATGCCTCCAAGAACAGAACTAGAAGTTGCCAAATGCCAAGATTGTTGGGGAAATGCAAACTCACCAAATGCAGTATCAGGGTGAATGCCCTTAATAGAAAACAGACAAATGTGAGCCCTGCATGATAACGACTCCAAAGAAAACCCCTCTGG